AAATCCGTTTGACTGTTTTTGGTTTCGGCTGGACCCCCCCCCCCCGGGTTTGTCTCAGCCTTGAACTTGGCAAAGGTTGAGGCAAAAGTTTGGATGGGTTTGTCGGAAAATGGGGAAGCGTCAAAGTTGGCTCACCTGCTCAAAGCGAATCGGTCGGATCCGACCCGTTTGGTTTCTTTCCCTTTTTGTAGTGGCCCCCATAGATTAACATTTATGGCCCCTTGGGCAACTGAGTTGATGGTTTTTTCTTGATTTCCTGAGCCCGAAAAATTTATCGAGCCTCTCAAGAGACAAGCCGTAATTCAATCTCGCACATTTCGTCAGACGGCAGGGAAGTTTTGGCTTAATTCCTGGTAGCTTGCATAAATTTGCAACTTGTCCAAAAGTCATTTCCTGCACATGATGACTTTCCAGGTTCCATGTCAATGGGAGTCAAGAGTCAAGACCCTCTTACCCTCTTGCCTTGGACTCGATTGACATCGACTCTTTGATCTCCCGGATGCCTTTCTGTCAGGAGATGCGCTTCTTGCCCTACCTGTCTCATAGCTGGAACTCGTCCGAGCAGATGCTGCTGGTGATCTCCATGGCCCCCTGGTGTCGCGAAGTCGTGACCGCTGCTTTGGTCCGTTTGAGGAATCCATGGAAGCGAGCCCACTCCCTGCATGGTCCAGAAGAATGGCCATTCGAAGAACCAGCTGGAGTTTGTAGCATGGGGCTTTTGTCGGCAAGATGTGGTGTGTATTTTTCGTGGTTTTCGATGAGCACATCCTGACTTCGTGGACTTTGGTCACTTGTTGGGAGCCTTTTGGCCAATCCACTCAGAAAATGAGCCGCAAACAGCGTCGGACAAATGTCAGGGGAAGACAGGATTAAATCAACCCCTAGTTGATTGGGTGGGGGTGTTCACCCAGTTCAGGGGGTGAAATAATGGGTTTGGATTGGTGGGTTGGGGATGTGAGCCCTTGGAGGGTAAATGGGACACTGCCCTTATATGGCCACCTCGATCTGCTGGGAAGTGGAATGGATTTGGCACGTACGACCATACGACCTGACCCAATCTTTGCAGTAGCCGCTGTTCCGCTGTTTCTTAAGTAAGGAGAGGACTAGTGACCCCTTGATGGTCCGTGCCTCGGAGGGGATGCAGATCACAGTGAATCGAGGTTGATTGCTCCGGGGTTAGTGCAATTCGCGGATGAGGTCTTGCCAAGTCACCCACCGCGGAAAAAGACGTCCATTGATGGCAAGGGTTGATTGGTTTCATTCATATGGGTTTCAGGTTCCTGACGGGGGACTGGGTTCAGAGGCCCATCTTTTTTTGGAGGCTCGGTTCCTGTTTGAGGGTTGGTTTACCGGCAAGCTCGCGGGATGCATACATGTTTTAGGGGTATTCCTTCTCTGATTGTGGGTATGTTGGCTTGTCTGTTTTGTTTCCTTTTCTGGGGTGTCGTTTTTGTCTTTCTTCTTTTTTAAATATATATATATATATATTTGTATATCTATATACATATATATGTATATATTCGACCGGGGCGAGGCGATGGTTTGCATCACCTCCTTCTACTTGGCCAACGAGAGGCATTGGTCCACCTCCCGCAGCTCCCAGTGCGTGTTGCTCGGTGTGATTTTGGCGCTCACCATTGGCCCCTCCTACATGCAGGCCATCTCGGAGTCAAGCGGAAGCGGAAGCGGGGACAGTGGCTAGCTTACTTGACATATTGCGTACATCCAACGGACCAAGCAAGTCGTCAGTGGAGATCGGACCCGATCCCTTAGAAAGGTTCTTTTCCGGAGCCCCTTCAGAACCCAGAAGAAGCTTCTACAGGGCAAGAGGCCTTTGTGGTTGGACTCGAAAAGTGGGAGCCAAGCGCGCAACCAGCCGGAAAGAACGGGCTTCGCCAGAGGTTGATTTTTTTGGCGAAAGATGGCACGCGCCGTATACACCAACATGGAAAAGATGGCACAATTCCGGTTGTGTGGGTAAGAAAAGGGGATGACTCAAACACAAAGGGAATTGTGCCATCTACTTTCATCCAAGTGTATTTTTGGGGAACCCTGAGCCTTTCTGCCCTTTTGACGCTTTGCCACGGGTTTTGGCTCCTTTCTCCGCAGGTGACGCTGATTCTGCGCCAGCTTCTGAGGGAGCGCTTTGGGGAGTAGGCCTGTCAAATTAGAAAGAAGCATGACGGCAAAACTGCCGCAGGTTTTCGCGTGGGAGGGGTGTAGGGGGCTCACCAAATTTCCCCAACAACCGGACAACTCCTTGCTTGGCTCACATGGGCGTTTCTCAGTCCATTTGAGTCCCGTGATCTCGTTTGAGAGCGCGCTTGAGGCGGTGGTATGGAGGTTACTCGGGCAACGTAAGGCCCTACCAGACCATCAAAGTTGGAGCGGTTCAAATCCCTCCAACACCACCCTTAGGGATTTCCGAGCTTTCTTGATGTGCGCGGGCTGGACATATGGTGGGAACACCTGTTTGCCAAGAGAAAGAAGCACAGCGGAAGAGGCTTTCCCAAGTCGCCCACCCGGGAAAAGACATCCATTGATGCCAAGGGTTGATTGGTTGCATCGGGAGGCACAAAGGTACGCCGATCGCGCCAGAGTGAAAGCCACCGGGGTGGCTCAAGTATTTGCATTACCCACTGCGGCACCCTGGGCCCAAGTGTCTTCGTATCTTTTGCGCTCAGTAGCTGAGCTACTCCAGCAGCGGCCAAGTCCCCCAACATCGCGATGCGCAATGAAAAGGGCCGACACTCAAGTTTTTTGGATTGATCCAGCAAAAACTCATCAGAGGCTTCAAGGGACTCGTTGTATTTCTCCGGATTTCCCGAACAAGGCAAGGGGCTATTTTTCGAAAGGGTGTCCTTGAGGAAAAGTCCCAGGAAACCAACCAGCGGCACGCAACAAGCGTTTGATCCGAGGGCGTTTATTTTTCCTGCTGCAGCGCGCATTGCTGCGCATGTTTTGATCAGCGTTTGGACAATCATAAGCCGGGTGACTCCGATGGCCCTTGCGACGCCAGCGCCAGGACCGCAGCGAGATCCGGATGCGTGCAAGAGTTTGCAGAGAAAACGCCTTGCACTCGTGCGACAGGTCAGCAGACGTGCCGTTTTTGCTTGGGGGGGGGGCACGGGCCAAAGGGGGCCTGAAGCTAGTGTCGGGCAGCTTGGCTGGACCTTGCTTGCGTGGGTTGTTGGTTGAGCTGAAGCTAGTTTACGGCGGGCTGGGCAGCCGCACTGAGGGGGCTGGGCTATGGCTGGGCTGGGCCTGAGGCCAGTTTCAGACACGTCAGACAGGCCTGCAGGCGGACTGGGCTGGGCTAGACGCTAGTTGCAGGCTGGTGAGGCCCAGTCTCGACGCTAGATAGGCTGAGGCCTGCGAGTCTCAAACCGGGTGGGCTTGGGTGGGGTTGGCTTAGGCGGGTTGCTGGTTGGGCTGGGCCTGAAGCTAGTCTCAGCCACGAGGCTGCGAAGCCATGGGTGGTGCTGGGCAGCTGGATTATGGTGTTGGTTGCGCCTGGAACTTCGGCTGGCTGGGCTGAGCTGTGCTTGGGCGGGTCGCTGGATGGGCTGAGGCTGGGTAGCGAGTTGCTGGCTAGGCTGGGCCTGAGGCCAGTCGCAGACACGTAAGACACGCCAGCAGGCGGGCTGAGGGACTGGGCCTGAGGCTAGTCTCAGGCTGGCGTACCTTGAGACCAGTCTCAGACTGCGCCGAAGGGGCCTGGTCAGCCTGGGCTGCTGAGTAGCTGGCATAGCTTGAGACCAGTCTCAGACACGTGAGACTGGTCGTTGGCCACTCTCAGACACGTTAGACAAACCTGACCTTGGCACACTGGGCTGAGCCTGCTGGGGGTGGGAGCTGGGGGCCGGTAGTGGCTGGCATGCCCTGAGATGCGCTGGGGCCCAGGCTTTGGGCTGGGCCTGAAGCTAGTCTCAGCCACGAGGCTGCGAAGCCATGGGCGGGTTGCTGGCTGCCGGGCAGCCGGACCAGGCTGCTGGTTGTGCCTGGAACTTGGGCTGGGCGGGCTGGGCTGAGCTGTGCTTGGGCGGGTTGCTGGATGGGCAAGGCCTGTTTCATACACACTTGGGCCTGAGGCTGGGTGGCGAGTTGGCTGGGCTGGGCCTGAGGCCAGTCGCAGACACGTAAGACACGCCAGCAGGCGGGCTGAAGGAGGCAGCCGGACTGAGGGGCTGGGGCACGTCAGACGGGCTTGGTGGCTGGCATAGCTTGAGACCAGTTTCAGACACGTGAGACTGGTCGTTGGCCTGAGGCCAGTCTCAGACACGTTAGACAAACCTGACCTTGGGGCCGGCCTAGAGATGCGCCGGGGCCTGGGCTGGGCGCTGGGCTGGGCTTGCTGGATGACTTGGGGTAGGCCTGTTTCAGACAAGCTTGGGCCTGAGGCTGGGTGGGCTGGGCTGACAGGCCTGGCCAGCAGGCGGGTTGCTGGTTGGGCTGGGCCTGAGCCTAGTCTCAGACACGTCAGGCAGGCCTGGCCACCAGGAGGTCATGCTTTTCAGGACAAAAAAGCAATTTTTTAGTGTTTCGCAATTGTCAGCACATTTTCGACAAAAATGGACCCATGGAGCTGGACGCCGACGAACCCCGAAAATTTCAAGGCCCGCCGGACAGGATTTTGGGTCCAGCCGACATGGGTGGGGGGGGTGGGGGGGGGGCTTGGGGGAGGAAAAGCGAAGATTCTCTTTGGAGAAGAGATCTGAGCGCCCTTGGCCCCCTTTGGGGCCGAGGCGAATTTCTTCCTGCCTGATGAGCAATTGGTCCCAGCCTGTTTTTGACAGGTCTCATAGGCAATGGTGGTTTGGGGTTCCCGTTTAGGTGAGTTGTTTTTTTGCTGGGCACCTTGTTGTCTGGTTTTAAGGAAGCTTCAACCAGTACAAAGCACCATTTTGGGATCCCCCAAAAACACTCATTTCAGTTGCCAGAAGGGTGGCGGGTGAAGTTCCATTCCGGCCGTATTGGGCGATACCGATGCTCTTGGCCCGAGTCGCCCACGAAAGACCGTGTGGGAAGATTCTCGAGAGCGAAGGTGAATGGCCTATGGCCACCCGATCGCACGGGCGGGGCGGGGAAAGGGCGCGGCACAGGGTTTTTTGGGGGTTGCCAGGCACAGGTGACTCATTCTGTTTTTTTTGTTTTTTGTGGGCGTTTCTTGCAAGGTGGGGGGTGGGGGAGGAATATGAGTTTTGGACGCAGTGGCCATCTCAGGGGCTCAGCTGCTTTTTGGATCTGATGTGGCAATACCAGGGTCGCTTTGTCGCATTCATGGTTGCTTCTCTTTTGTTCTTCTTCTTTTGATTTATTTGGCTGTTTACCCTGTTTGTTCTACACAAAGTGATTGCGTCAGCTTGATTGATCGAATGGATCCTCGGGAAGACAGCCATGCGTACTATGGAAGTATGTTGAACTCTGACTGATATAACTCTCTGCCCAATCTATTCAATTTATGAATCTGGAGGGTTCTCCTGGAAGAATGGGACGAATGTTGACCACAGAATTGTTCAAGCTAGGCTGGTGTAGAGGCTGTCCCCTATGAGAGGATCCCTAAACTGGGACCTCTTATGGACCAGATCGCATCTGGGTTCGTCTGCACTACGGGTCAGTTGCAGGTTCCTTGGCCGCCCTCTGTGAGAAAAAGGACCCTCGGCTGCGTAAATGTGAAATGTAGCCGCCCCAAATAGTTGGTGCTTTTTGTTCTCAAAGGCGGCAGTTGGCACCCCGAACCTCCAAATCCAAATCGCCAAGATCCAGAAATCCCTGTTTTTTTTGAACCCATTCCGTGGCACCTTTTGCCTCTTTTCCCACTTTCGAGGGAAGCAGCCCAGCTCAGCTCCAAGGTAGCCCAAACAAGCTGAATCTGGGGAGTCCCTGAGGTGAGATGGTACTTCTGCTTGCTCCTCTGGCGGGCCGCGAGCGAGGTGGGGGACCCTACCGAGTGGTCCGAACCCGAAGCTGCGGGCCATCCCTGGTGGTTTTGGTTTGGCATCGTTTGTTGTTCCCCAACAGCTGAAAGCTAAGCTCGGGGGAGCTCTGGAGTCAGTTAGCAACGTTTCGGAGGTTCTGGGTGGCTTGGTGGCCATGTGTAAGGTTCAAATGGTTCCGGAGGTTCGGGGTGGTCTGGTGTAAGGTTCAAGGAAGGTTCCGGGCTGGCCCAGATGTAAGGTTCGAGGAAGGTGTTAGAGGTTCGAGGTTCTGGCACAGGCCAGGTGTAAGGTTCGAGCAAGGCTCACGGTGTGTTCAAGGAAGGTTTTGAGGTTTCCGGGTGGTGAGGCAGAAGGTTCAAGGAAGGTTCTGGAGGGCTCCTTAAGAGCTGCAAGCTTTGGGGTCTCAACTCAAATTGGCGCGTGGTCCGGAGCGGCTCTGAGGTGAGGCTGTGCGAAGGTCCGTAAGGGTTGCGGGAAGATTCCGGGCAAGGTTCCACAGGCTCCACAGGGTTTCACAAAAGTTTCGTGAGGGTTCCGCAAGGGTTCCGGGGATGTGCGAGGCGGTCTTGAGGAGGGTTATGACATTAAAGCAACATGAAGCGAATCACACACGTCGTATCCAATGATGGCGGTGGTGGCGGTGCTGATGATGGTGGTTGATCATGGTGGCGGTGGTGGTGGTGATGATGGCGATGGTGGTGATGGTGGTGGTGGGGATTCGGGCCCGATCTTGAAAAGTGTTCCGAATTGAAAAGACCCTCTGCTGGTTTTTCAACGGTGGCATCCACTTGTCGGTCTCTGGTCAGAGCGAACGGGCTGCCTTGTATTTCGCTTTGGCGGGTTGGCTTCTCCACAACTGGAGGCATAGAGAGCCCTAAAGCGCATGCCAGGACGATGAGAGCTTGAGCCCGGGCGCCCCAGCTCCCCTTGGCGTGTGAGCGCACTGAGACACATGGGCGTTTTCTTTTCGAGGGTAACGTTTTTGAGGTTGTCCATTTTTCGGCCCCCCCTATGTGTGCGTGTGCGTGTGCGTATGTGCGTGTGCGTGCGTGAGCGTGCGTGCGTGTGGGTGCGTGCGTGCGTGCGTGCGTGCGCGTGCGTGTGTGCGTGCATGCCTGCGTGCGTGAGTGTGCGTGCGTGCGTGCGTGCGTCTGCGTGCGTACGTACGTGCGTGTGCGTGCGAGCGTGAGTGTGCGTGCGTGCGTGCGTGAGTGTGCGTGCGTGCGTGCGTGCGTGTGTGTGTGTGTGTGTGTGTGGGTGGGTGCCTGCGTGTGTGTGTGTGTGAACCGTCCTGGAGCACGGACGCAAAACTTTAAGCAGCAGGGGGACTAGAGCCGATTTGCCTATCCAGTCCAATGAAGCTACGGCATTTCGGTGGATACCGGATCTGATCAATCCGGCGTACCTGCCTATTTCCTGACCCTCTTTCCTGATTCCTTTTGCGGTTTCTGTTTGTCGCTGTTGCTTCCTGTTCGGTGTCGATGTTGTGACCTGTTGATTTGCATTTGCATTCAAGCATTTTTTCTGACTGCGTTTTTCATCTCGGCTAGTGAAGCCTCTCGAGATAAGTGTGTTTACCCACGGCCTGTCCGACGTGGCGCTGTGGGCTGGACTCGCCACATGCGGGAGCCCCCTGCGAGGGGAAGACCGTTCATTCGTTCAAATTCAAGCCGCAGTTCAGCGCGATTGACCATGGTCAAGGCAGCAATTTTGCAGGTGAGGTACTGCCATTCGCATTGCTTGTCGCACCTGAGCAAGGCAGCAACCATGAGGTTTCGGCTAGGCTGCCGCATGTGCAAGGGACAGGTCGGTACTTTGCAGTTCATCGGTTTACGCTCTGCACTGACTCTGATCAGTTCAATTCACTTTCACGTTCAAGCGACACCTGCATTGACATGAGTTGGACCGACCAGGCAGCTTTTTTGAGGCACAGGTCATGTGTGAATCAGTTGCTAAATCGTGCCTGCCCATGCCACAGTTGCCTTTTATTGTTTCCAGACTTTCCCGCACAGTCGAAGATTGCAAGACTCAATGGGCCTTGCATAAGTGAGCTCGCCCCACTCGGGGCCTTGTGTGTGTGAACCGTCCTGGAGCACGGACGCAAAACTTTAAGCAGCAGGGGGGCTGTCCACTGCATGGAAGTGACGGCCCAACGAAGAGGCTTCCATCAGTGCTGATATGGATTCTGGCGCAGAATCCACGTACCTGCAGTGATGAGAAATTCCTTTTGCGGTTTCTGTTTGTCGCTGTTGCTTCCTGTTCGGTGTCGATGTTGTGACCTGTTGATTTGCATTTGCATTCAAGCATTTTTACTGACTGCGTTTTTCATCTCGGCTAGTGAAGCCTCTCGAGATAAGTGTGTGTGTGTGTGTGTGTGTGTGTGTGTGTGTGTGTGTGTGTGTGTGTGTGTGTGTGTGTGTGTGTGTGTGTGTGTGTGTGTGTGGGGGGTGTTGTGTGTGTGTGCGCGCTTGTGTGCGTGTGTTTGCTTGTTTGTTTGTTTGTTGGTTGGTTGGTTGGCTGGCTGGTTTGTTTGATTTTCGGGGTAACTACTGTTTGTAGAATAATGGCAAGCCAGAACCAAATCTACATTTTTGGGTGTGCTCTATTTTGATACAACCCCGAATCGGGATTTGAGCCCGACAACTGGTGTTTTGTTGCTTGAAACACGGTATATACCCTGAACACGCGCAGGCCCATGTGGACCCCATGTGAGCACCACCATTGCCTTCTGCACTTCTGCAAGTTAGGCAATCAATTAATCTGCAGCAGCCCCCCCTCTTGAGCGATAACAATGGGATCCCAGCAATTGCAGAATCCCCTTTGTTTCCCTACAAACGCCCATGCAGGCAAACAGTCGTTCAAGCAATCCAGGCAGAAAGCAAGTGCACCTAGAAAAGATGGTTCACCGCCCACCCCCCGCCCAATGCTTTCAATTTGCGATTCAATTGTTGGGATGTTTCTCACCAAAATCAAATCTGCGGCACAACATGTCTTGGGGGTGGTTAGTCATGAAAACACGTCATGCCCGCTTCCCGGCAGCCCCATCCCCAGGCGACGTGGCGCTGCTTCAGCAAAGCCTCGGGCTGCAGAGGCGTGGCACCGTGTACGGCAGAGGGGTGAGTTTGCAAAAGTTGGTGGTGTGGATTGGATTTGGATTTCAGCCGGCCTAGAGCAAATGATTTGGCACCTTCAAACCAATTCCAATGTTTCTACCAGCGCCACTGAACAACTGGGATGTTGCTGGGATCTCTATTGAAATGGTTTTTACGATTGGGGTTCACTAATTAATTATCAGGTACCCCTCAGTTGGTGGTTTGGACATTTGAACCCCAGCTCCTTTTGTGACCAGGTGGCACCCCCTAACCAAACCTAACCACCAATTGGAAGGACGCGGAAAATATAAGCCAGACACGTTGTTTCGGGTTTGCTTGGGCAAAAGCAGAGGTAGGTCAGCTGGGGGTCCTGCAAGGTTTCAGGCTTGGGGGTTTCCCATTACCTGCTTTGTTTGAGAGGAAAATGGCCTTCCAGGAACGAAGCCGCAGTCACGGTGCCCTCTTGCCCATGGAAGTGAAAAGGATGCCACTTTATGATTTCCATGCCCCGACCCCCAAGCCACCAAACCACCAACCCAACTTTGGGTAAGCTGAATCTGAGGTGTTTTCCAATACCCACAAGCCACTAGTGCGACCCAGTGCAATATGGCGTATGTACTGTTGATTCGTGTTTTCACGTAGTTGTATACCGTATACCGCTCACTTGCGGAGCTCCCAAACCAAGCCCCATGTCAGTTGGGGACACTCTAAATATTGGACTTGCCTCATATGTTGCCCCAAGGCCACTCTCTTTGATACCAAGGACACCCCTCAAAATGACAAAGTAGCCATAGGGATGGTCCATCTTGGCACAGAAAGGGTGATTTTCGGAAACCATGTTGCTACAAGCAGCCATCAAAAAGCATCGGGCCCTAGTCTGGACGTGATGCCAGGACGCGGGACAGCCTTTGCAGCTCGGTTTGAAATTCGGGCTCCAGTTGGGAGCCAGCCAGCCAGCCAGCCAGCCAGCCAGCCAGCCAGCCAGCCAGCCAGCCAGCCAGCCAGCCAGCCAGCCAGCCAGCCAGCCAGCCAGCCACCCCACCACCCCACCACCACCACCCCACAACCAACCAACCAACCAACCAACCAACCGACCAACCAACCAACCAACCAACCAACCAACCAACCAACCAACTTTTGGGTCAATAGGTGGCACGCATTTGAATTTACAGTTTGACTGGATAGTTTTGAGGTTGTTACTCTGATGGACCCAGTTATTGGGATGCCCTCGTGCCCCATATTGCATTGATTTGCATTGTATGTTTCCTGTGCTGGTGGGTATGTATCAGGCCTGGACCAACCCTGTATTTAAGCTTGTTGACGGCCACCACCCTTGTATATGGGAGTGTCCTTTTTTTGGGAAACACTTGTTTGGTTGATTTTAAGAGGACGTTTTCTTGGGGTCCACTTCAAAAAGGCGCACGTATCTCAAGGGCACCCACCAATTTCAGCGGCACGTCACCGAGACCTTAGACATTGGTAGTGATTTGAAGGAAACTAGGGTTACACGAGCCTGAAAGTAGACGGCACAATGTGAGTTACCATGAATCCCAGACACAAATGGGTGCGGCCGCTTTTTCAGGAAAGCGATGCAATTTGCAGACATCTTTCTTTCACTGAAAATCAAGCGAGCTCACCCGTGATGAAGGTCCTGCCAGGTTCGTCAGCTCATGTTGGTGAAAGCTGAGCAACTCATGACGAACTCTCCTGGTTAAACGAGCTCACATATGCTTGAAGGCCCCAAGCAAGTCCCTTACTTGGGGATTTCATGTTTCAGCTGTGTGAAGCATAAACCAACACCTTATGCGCACATGCAAGCACATACATGAATGCATTCCTGCATGCATATTGCATGCATATTCAGGAATGTAGCCACGCAAGCATGTATGCGTGTACACACACATGCATGCGTACATACACACTCGCTTCTTGTTTGATGGTACGCTTTTCACCTTGGTTTCAAAGAGAAAAGGAAGACAACCATTTTGAGGAGTTGATGCTGAGACAGCCCCATATATATATATATACATCTGTCGGAAACCTTTGCTTTCAGGGCTTCTGTGGGAAATACGTCCACAATGCATATCCACTATGTAAGGGTTATATATCCTTTTTTTCTCCTGAGTTGGGGGTAGTGGAAGCCATTTGTAGAATCATCTTAGAAAGGCCAATCTTACAATATTTCATCATAGAATCATAGGATCATCTTAGAGTCATTTTAGATGTCATCTTAGAACCTTTCGTCAAGGCACGCTGATGTCATTGTCGGTGCCAAGGTCAGAGAGAGAGCTGCACGCCCGCGGTCTTTATCGTGACCTCGGGGCGCACGGGGTCTACCACCCTCATGCACATGCTGAACCTCATCCCCGGGCATCTCGTTTTGCATGGGATTTTACCCAAGCAGGTGTCTGGTTTTGTGGCCTGATAAGCGTCATGTCGCTGCGCATGGTACTTCTAAGGTAGGTTATTTTAGATGTGCAGGTTGTCTGTGGTTCATTGAGTGCCACGGAAACCCTGTACACTTCTCACAAACAACTGGGCCCATGTTCATGGCGGGGACAAAATATGGCCTGTCTTTTGACCGCCTTATCCGGAAATCCGGCCTTTTTGCTTTTCAAGACAAGACGAGCCGCTCGGAGCAGGGAGTGGCTGATCAGGATCGAGTTCGCGAATTCGCTTTGGGTTTCCAAATGCCGGTTGTCGTTTTCCCCCCCTGGGAATCACTCGCAAGACAAGAGAATGTGTTCCAGCTGAAAATACGGTGAAGGATTCCTCTGGGTATGGCAAACTTGGCACCAGGCAGAAGCCCCGACTGATTTTTTTTGAGCTCTGGGGGGGGGGGTAGGGGGGTGCACCCATGTCCCTTATTTCTGGTTTGGGAATGAAGCAGAGCAATTTGCTCAAATTAATGGGGATTCGGATCACTTTTGGGGGAGCGCCTCCAAACATGCGCCAGTTGTTATTTTTCTTTTTTCTTTTTTGGTTAACCATAACTCTACGTACCGGTGATTTGCTCCATAGTTTGTGATTGAGTCAATGATTGGCAGGCTTGCGCGATGTTAGTCGCGTGTCCACAGAAGGGCAAGTGAGTGAACTGAATTGGGGGGGGGGGGAGAGGCAAGTCGTGCCCTTGCGAGAGTTTGGGAGGTTGGGCCCACAGAGCCAAGCTGAGGTATGACATCAAAGGCGCAGCTTGGGTTCTCTCGTGTTTGTGAGCAAGTCGCATTGCACGACAGTCATTGCCCTGCTTCCAATGGCCTCCCTTTGAGATCCACAAGTCCAGCGCCTCACATAGTCTTGTGCCTGAGAGGCGAGAACCTGAATTTGGCGTCTGACATCTATGACATGCATCAGGAGATTGCCCGTTCCTCCTGATTTATCAGGTTTGGTAGATGCATGCTAGCTTGACGACCCTTCAATGGATTGTTTGCTTGGTTTGATTGCTTGGTTCGAAAACACCAGAGCTAAATTTCTGGGCACAAGTGAAAAGGGCAAGCATGTGGTCGAACATGATCTCTGGATGCCTTTTGACTGGCGCCCTTTTCCACAGCGGTGCCCCAACCTCTAACTGACGATGTTAGTACAAGGGCGTGTGCGTGCGTGCGTGCGTGCGTGCGTGTGGGCGTGTGTGTGTGTGTGTGTGTGTGGGTGTGTGGGTGTGGGTGTTGTGTCTCTGTGTTTCTGTGTCTCTGTGTCTCTGTGTCTCTGCGTGTCTGTGTCTGTGTCGGTGTCTGTGTCTGTGTCTGTGTGTGCGTGTGTGCGTGTGTGTGTGTGTGTGTCAGTATCAATTAGGGGACCCCCAAACTAGCCTCGGTGTAGCTGCCAAAACAATACACCCGCAAAGCCGCCAAGTGCAGTCGCATCCAACGCGGCTCAAAGCGGCTTGAGTGAGAGGAGCGGGAAAGTGATTGGAAGACCTACAAGTCCAGCACCCTCTACGCGTGGCACCACAGCAATGCAAGGCCGGCTTGTCAGCGAGGGGGTCGATTAGTATGACCGAAGCTGGGGGTGGGGCGCAGCCGGGCGGTGGAGACTCAGCTGGCAGGGTGTCCAAGAACAGTCTAAGATTCCGTTCGAACCCTGAATCCCCCCCCCCCCCTCCTCAGAAAAAAGAATCCAAAAAGAACCCCATTAGTCTCTAATCGGCCATATCGGTCCTTATTTTTGGTTGGCGGCCATCAGAGGGCCCTGGCAACCATAGGGATGAAGGAAGCCTGGGAGGGTTGAGGTAAGCTCAACGGGGCAAGGTTGTTTTGTGTGAAATGGCTACCCCTAAACCTTGTCCCAGAACCTGTGAGCCCTCGTTGCTAGTTCGTTTGATGTCCTTTGAGACATGAAGAATTCACGCATTTGGCAATTGTTCTCTTGCCCAAGGCGGGTCGGCCTTTGCACCTTTGGGTTCCCCATTTTGGGTTGCCCCCAAAGGTGATCTTGAAAAAAGAGGAATGGGTGAACTGGCACAGAGTCTGCAGGAACGACTCTGAGATTGACTGCAGCATGCGGATGATGGTCATGGCAGAGCTCAATCCAGACCCCAACGCACGGGTCGTCGGCTTCCGGGCCGGGGGCCCCGATAGGCTTTGCAAGCTTGCATGCAGTGAACTTCCCGGACCTCAAAGGTGGTTCCTCTTTCTTGTCTTTCTTTCTTTTTTTTTGGGGGGGGAAGTTGGGATTCCCTAGTTTTCCTCTTTTGGTGGTTTAACATATCACTGTCCGGTCCCCTTTTCTGCGAGCTTCCTGTACTTGAAGGGGAAATTTGGGAGCTGACTTCTCCCATGGCCACAGGTGAATTTCTCAAGACATCCAGAGATTGACTTCCAAAGAGAGACCCCTGGGCTGCAGTCACACTTGGGGCGACGTCGAACTCTCTTGCTCCGTTCCTAAATCAGCGATTACAAGTGATACGGTTCCAACGGCCCCGTTATCCGCTACAAGACCCTGACTAAAATCAGGATATGCATGCATTTCCCCGCGACTTTATGGAGCGATTTCAAGGATTCGGAACAAACACAAGCGAAAACTGATGTAGGTCCTTGACTTGGGATCCAATTCTAAACTCAGGTAGTATCTCCCGGGGTTCATTTCGATGTGACGCCCCGTTTAAGAAGGTGTTGTGTGCATTTTCTTGGAAGCACCCCTCATTCTGATGTCGACCTTGAATGCAATTTTGGGTTCCCAGTTTCACTTTTGGCCCTCCAGGGTGGCCAATGGCAAGTGAGTTCCCCCCCCCCATCCACACGCCGCCCGCTTGTTTTTTTGGGGTTTCTCACCTGCCATCTAGGCGAGCTCTTGGCGTGCTGGCCTCAGGTATTCCTCGAGCAGCTGCCGCGTGTTTGGTCAAGCGTGTGTGTGTGTGTGTGTGTGTGTGTGTGTGTGTGAGTGCGTGCGTGCGTGCGTGCGTGCGTGCGTGCGTGCGTGTGTGTGTGTGTGAGAGAGTGCGTGCGTGCGTGCGTGCGGGCGTGCGGGCGTACGTGCGTGGGTGTGTGTGTGTGTGTGTCTGTGTGTCTGTGTGTCTGTGTGTCTGTGTCTGTGTCTGTGTCTGTGTCTGTGTGTGTGTGTGTGTCTGTGTGTGTGTCTGTGTGTGTGTCTGTGTGTCTGTGTGTGTGTGTTTGTGTGTGTGTGTGTGTTTGTGTGTTTGTGCGTTTGTGTGTTTGTGCGTTTGTGTGTTTGTGTGTTTGTGTGTTTGTGTGTTTGTGTGTTTGTGTTTTTGTGTGCGTGTGTGCGTTTGTATGCGTTTGTGTGTTTGTGTGTTTGTGTGTTTGTGTGTTTGTGTGTTTGTGTGTTTGTGTGTTTGTGTGTTTGTGTGTTTGTGTGTGTGTGTATGTATGTTTGTGTGTGTGTGTGTGTTTGAGTGTGTGTCTTTGTGTGCGTGTGTGTCTTTGTGTGCGTGTGTGTGTGTGTGTGCGTGTGTGTGTGTGTGTGCATGTGCATGTGCATGTGCATGTGCATGTGCATGTGCATGTGCATGTGCATGTGCATGTGCATGTGCATGTGCATGTGCATGTGCATGTGCATGTGCATGTGCGTGCGTGCGTGCGTGCGTGCGTGCGTGCGTGCGTGCGTGCGTGCGTGCGTGCGTGTGTGTGTGTGTGTGTGCGGAGTGGCAGAAAACCCTGCCACCAGTCTTTTCTTCGTCAACAGGGGGACCATCCATTTGCTGTGTGCGATGGTCCAACGAAGCGGCCACAGCAAATGCGGATATCGAGGCTGATCACCTCGACGTACCTGTGCATCTCGTGTGATTCAAAGTCCTTTTGGCCCGTTGTTTCTCTCGCTGTGTGTGCTTCATGTTGAATTTGTAACGGTTTCGCTGCTAGACGGAAACCAAGTGACTGCAAGCCGAACCTACACCCACTCGAGACTCATCGGTTGTACTCGAGACTTATCAGTTGTACTCGAAAGATTAGCACTCTCCATCTGGAGTTCAAGTGTGTACACCCCATTCGTGGGGAATCCTCGGGTGTACCCATTGTGTGACCCCGGGCCGGCTCTGTCGGAAAATTTGACCTCAACGTGCTTATCATAGAACAGCGGAATTTCACATTTAACCAGGAACGAGGTTTCACTAAAGGGAAGAAAGCCGTCAGATCATAGTGACGTCTCACCACAACTGATGGCTGCCGACTTTCATTGCAGTTGCTGACCATTGGTTGAACTGGTTGCTCGTATCATTGCGGTTGACGATTGCTGCCTTGTATTTGCTTTGCCTTGTACATGTAGATCGACCATTGCAGCTGAGGGTCGCTAACTTGCATTTGCATTGATTTGAATGTTCTCGGGTCCGATTCTCTCAAGGTGGAAGTGTGCAGATTCAGATTCAGTTGCGTCACCATGTCTCGACGTGATGATCGTGATAGATCCAGGACTCGGCGCAGACGTGATCGGAGTCCGTCCCCTCAAGCTCACAAATCACGCCGACGTGAGCACAATGACAACCAGGTCTCGGAGAACATGGATTGGAACAACTTGGTTTCATGGCAACACAATTCCGGCTACAACGCTGCCAACAACTTTCCGATGATGCCCACCAACTTTCAATCGACTCACAATCCCACACAACAATTCCAATACCCAGCGATCAACTACATGATGCCGATCCCTCCAGATCCCACGCCATCCAAGTTCATGCCACCAGTGATGCCACCACCGGTTACTACTTCCCAACCTACACCGTCACCTGGACCCCCTGCGGCTCTACCGGTTCGTCCTCAGAAAGCCTGGCTTACTCCCTCACCTGACTGGACACCTGGAGACGGCATGTTTGATGTCAATCAACTCTACAACTTCAGCTTGCCCATGACTGTTGCCAACACTCCGCATGGCAACCTTCGCGACATGTCAGGCATGGATATTAGGGACGTACGCCTGGTTCAGGTTATCCACGGGGGCCTCACCAACTGGCTACTCAGGCCGTTTGCACACGGCCGATTCGTGACGTGGGAAGGCTTTCGCACCCGCACCGAGGCCTTACTTTGGAGTACCTGTTCCAAATTACTACGAAGATCGCAGTCACTCAACCTGCTCACCCTGGAAAAGGACCTTGCCAACACGCTGGGTCTCAACATCGATGACTTCAATCAGCGCATCAAGGTCCACGACCATTTGGCCAACTTGGTACTTCAATTTCTTCAACAACATCACACCTCTCTCGCACCTGCCGCCCAGACCGATGACATGGTCAAAAAGTTCAATGATTTGAATCGTGCACACGAACTTCTCCAAGCTCAGTATTCCGCATCACTTCGCGCATCGACCTCTCCCACGATGACAAACCAGAAGGATGATGCAGAGTTGGTTACACCGCCACCGGTCAACCACACACCATCCTCGTCACCTGCCAGCTCCCTTCCCACAGCCAGCGCGGCCGCCCTGGATGGCAAGTCGATTGATAGCGTGGTGCAACCTCGGATCATACAGTCTCTTCACGGAGTGTCGTCACCGCCGTCCAAACCGGCGGCATCACAATTGCTCACCATGCACAGCACGCCGGATGAAGTTGTCAAGTACTACACATGGACCAGTGACCAACCTCGCCTTTATCTCAAGCAAGCACCCACAACCACCACTTTGGCATCGCTGGTTAAGTGGGCCAATCATCCGACCCGGCTCAACGGCAACAAGTCATTAGATTCTATGGCGACGCAGCTCCTTCAGGCGCGGCAACGCATGCCGAAAGGCGATGCACCCACTCTCGGGGCAATGGCGGCTTCGTGGGGACTAGAACCCGGCTATCTTACCAAACTCACTGAGAAGGCATTGAGTCACCTCATCGTGACCGCTCGCCTACTCTGTGGATGAGAAGGCATCATACTGACCTTCGTTCTCATATGAGCCCGGAGCGGCAACAATGTCACGGATGAGTCCAGGTGAAAACTCGTCCGTCAAGTGTCTGCGCTGCACCAGATTGATCTTGTACTTGCTCGTTCTTGCATTGTCCCTTGTGTGATTGTCTGTGATGCTTGTATTCATGTCGCCGCCTTGTGGTAGATTTCGTTGGTTGCATCTCACCATGTTGGATGAACTTCGCCGCTGCGGAATCTATGATGATGTTGCACAATGGCAGTCGCTGGACGACCTTCTGCACTCGTTGACCATATTCCCTACGTGCTGGCAGTACTGTTTTCCTGGACTACCACCACCGTCGATTCCAATTGAGGAGTACGAATCCAGCACACAATTGCCGTGGCTGGGTCTCATCCTCGAGGTCTTAGTTGTGGTCCGGATAGCCCTTCAGATTCCGAATCACGCTATGTCAAACTCTCAGCACACCGTGGCCAACAGGTACGAGCTTCACAGATGTCGGTGCGCTGCCTATTTATTGATCAGTTTCTTACAACGTCTCATTTCACAAGATCACGGCTACTTCCCGCCGTTCTTCGAAGTCCTTCACTTCTACAAGACCTCTCTTGTGTGAAATCATGCACTCAACTTTCGCTGACACGCGACATCTACGCTCATTGCGGGCGCGATTTCCTGACCTCTACGACTTCATACATGATCCAGGTCATCACCAACAACCGTGCGTCTACATTCGACTTTCCCCATGGCACACACCATACTATGTTGGGGCGACTGATCAGGATGTTCTACGTCGTGAACACTCACGCAGTCGCAAATTTCTACAACTACTTCGTGGACGGCATGCCTTCTTTGAACCGGCGCTTCACTACTGGAAACGATCCAATACTTACTGGCTCTTCTGTGCTGTACCAGTGGAAATCAAACTTCCAGTTTCCTCGGTGTGGGTTCAAGAAAGCAAATGGCAATACCTGCTACGCCCGCATTTGAATGCGCCCTGGGTACACAGAATCTTGCGCAAGGTGGGCTTCCGGGAACATCTTGTAGATTTTCGACGCCACTCGTTGTCGTCTCCCACTTCCCTCGGCTTGCACAAGCGCTTTCGACGACGACTACATCCGGATCTCCAACGGCAACTACGACCTGACACCCTGGATGACATTCAAGCCCACTACTCGATTCTCTATCAGCTGGGATCGAATACAGGAGCGTCGTTCCAAGTCATGCGTGACCTACTGTCGGCCGCTTTCCCTCCCACTCAGCT